AGAGAGAGAGAGAGAGAGAGAGAGAGAGAGAGAGAGAGAGATGAGATTATTATTATTTGGCGCTGCCATACACCGGGTTTTCTTCTTGTTGTTGTTCTTGTTCTTGTTGTTGTTCTTGTTGTTGTTCTTGTTCTTGTTCTTGTTGTTGTTCTTCTTGTTCCTTACATCTCCCTCTGGATTCGTGTATGTATGATTGCAGCAGGGAGATTGTTCTATGACTGGACCCCTCCTCACTGGTGTGAGATCAGATCTGAGCGACTTTGTCATTTAGCTGCATAGTCAGAGTCAGTCCTATCTCATTTGAGTCTTCCGCTGTGTCACATTGCATCTCTTCATATTGGTGATCTTTGGACTTGCATTGCTGACGGTTCACTCTGGGAATGCATCGCTTCATGTGCAGAGATCAGGTTCATATGGCAGTCTATGACGTCAGAGCAACTGTAGCGCAGTTGACACCGCCCATCCCTCCGACTCTCAATCATGACACAACAATCCAGCAACAACTAAAGCGCAGTTGATGCCACCCATCCCTCTACCTCTCAATCATGATGCCACAATTCAGCCCATCTCCCCATTCCTGGTACCCTTTTGCAGACGTGTTTTCATACACAGCAAAGGAGAAAAATCAGTTGCATTTGACTCAAGGGCCTTCAAACAGCTCTCCATAATGCAGGGAACCACCATGTTCCTTGTTTTATCACAAGTTCTCGTCTCATCGTGCTGTCAATGCCCATTCCGATGAACCAACATCTCACCCCGGAAACGAAGTCGAAGTCGAAGTCCAGAAGGAAAGAAGAATATCAAAATAATACATAACGCTGTACACTTTCGCGCCAAGAGATGAATCCCTGCTCCTATCTACCTATTAAGACATCCCAACTCCCCCGTGTGGCTGTTAGCGCACAGAAGGGTGAATTGGTGTATCGCTGGCAAAGTCCGTCATGAAGCCGAGCTCATCCTCAGGCAGGTCCTCTCCTCCATTCTCCCAATCAACATCATCATCATCGCCGTCATCATCACCATCGTCCCTTGCTTCCTCCGCTGCTCCCTCATCCGCAGCACCTCTGCCTCCATCTGCATCCTGTGCATCTTCACCGGCGACCCAGGTCAGCTTGTCATCGTCTTCAACCTCGACCGCCCCACCTGCACCAGCAATGTCTTGCGTTCCTGCTTCCCATTCCACGTCCTCTTCATCTTCGTCTTCCTCGCCGTCTGATCTCTCCCGCTTTACCCTGGATCCCACCTGTCTCTCATCACCAGGCTCTATTTTGACAGTGACAGTTTCCTTTTTCACAGTGCCAACCGCAGGATCGTTCTGTTCAGTGGCATCTCCTCCCAGTTCCTGATGTCTCTTCATTAACGCTTCATAGTACGCCTTCACGTATGCCTCCTGCAGTTGGCGCTGCACTGCCTCTTTGTCATCTGCCTCTCCCCCTTCTTCTTTCTTCACCGTCGACAACCCTCCTCCCCAGCCCCCTCCCCCAGCCATACAGCTGCTGCTAGGTTCAGCCTTCACTTCCGCCTTGACTTTGCCCGCGGCAGCCGCTCCCGATTGCTGAGGTGTCAGATTCATTCCCTGCCTGATCATCCACGGTGGAAGCTGCTTCAGTGCAATGCCTTCCCCCTTCGTTTCTTCCTGCTTCACATCACTCTGCCCTAGGTCAACCTCCACCTTCGTTTCGCCCCAGAACGGAATAGGCGCCGATTGCTGTTTTGAATGGACGCCCTCGAGCTGCACATCCAGACCCCTGTCCTCTCCTGCCCTTAGCCCCGCCTTCGCGACCCATTCCGCTAAAGGCCCAAAGTCCGGCGGAGTTAAATCTTTAATCTTCTCCACTTGGTCAGTCAGAGGCTTCAGCTGCTTCTGCAGAGACCAACCGCCACCAGTGACTACACACAATCAGCGACCCTCCCTGCTACTGCCGATAATGAGTCAGACACAAGTGGACAAATCCCACTCGCTCTACACAAACGACTTTAAATACATCACAGCCAAGGAATCAAGACCCATTTAACACAGGCAACCTGAAGCGCTACGAAATACTAGCCAATTTGAAAACATAGAAACGAACGAACTGGGTTTCTCGTAGCAAAGATCTATATAATAATCAGAACGCTTGCGACTATAGCAAGCAATGCTCGAAGAAATCGAAAAACTATCATCATTATACATTGGGCCTCGCAACAGCAGCCACAAAAATGCAAAACATTTGCCATGTGTTAGAATATGACAATATGTCGAGAGGCAACATTTTGAGAGCTTTTCGCCCTTTGCCACACAGCAGTCAGGAACGGCACCCTCACGAAAACGGGTCGGAAAACGACAGACGACCCCAGAGGAAAGGACCATCCATCGCCTGTCGGTGCAAACCTCAGGCCTACTCTAAAAAAATTGCGGTTCCGCCAAGAGCACGGTCGATAAGCTTGAGAGGCCTCATAACTCAAGAAGTCACAAAAGCTCGTTAAAAAAAAAAAAAAAAAAAAAAAAAAAAAAAAAAGTCACAAAAGCCCTCGTTTACGAGTGATGATGAATTTCAATCATCTTTTCTAAAGCTACCTCATTTGCGACTGATGATTAATCTCTTCTTCTAAAGCTAGAAAACCTAGAGCCCTAACTTTGATTGCACCAGAGTACACAGAACAGTGCCATGACAAAGCTTGCCTGGCAAGATTTGAAGATGGAGGCATAGGCCGGTCCTATATGTGTGGGTCTTGGACATCAATAGTAGGTTCAAAAATTATTATACTTGTGTCCTCACCACCCCGCCCGTTACCGGGGTTGGACATTAAGAAAACTTGCGAAACTTGCTTCACAACATCAAGAGTTCACTTCTTTTAAGTTCTTTACAAACAATGAAGGAAATACTGACACAAATCCATCAATTCTGTAACAGGGGGCTCTGGGGGGGGCCCTGCAGGATGGATAACTGAGGTGAAACGGCATGGTGGGCAGGGCGGGGGGGACCACGATAAGCCCATTCAAGACAAGAAGGTCATCTTTCAATAGTGGACGGTCATTGATGGTTCGGTCCAGCTTCGCCCGTGTCGTATTTTTGTGACCCCTTTCCCCCACACCCCCTTTCCCTGGTGGATGCTCCATGGTATGGGATGTGGCTAGGCTTGGGATAAATAGAACAATTGGCAGCCTATTTGGGGTGAAGAGGTCAATATAATAATATATACTACTAGGACAAATGGTCTTTGTTCTCACCTTGACGTGTGTGTCTTTTGCATTAGCCAATGCCGGGTAATGGCCCCGGTACTGTGTGAAGATGATCTGGGACGCTGGGCCCGGTTCCCGGGGCGTCCTGCTCCCCACAAATAGACCGGAACCTTGCTTTGTAAAAAAATAAAATAAATAAAAAATCAAGAGTTCCACAAGAAGAGACCTCGAACTCATATATGGGCATCTGGCTGAATACTATATTCCAAGGAGACAGCAATTCAAGATCTAGAATTCGATCCAGATGAATGGGCTTGGACCTCAGACAACAACAGAATCTGCAAGAACCCCCAGGCACATAACTCCGTATACACAGTCAAAATGGGGTACAGGTCGCTACTGAAGACAAAGGACCCTGGGCCTGTAATCAGAGAAAGATGGAGCAAATTGCTTGGACAAGGAATGGAACCTATCTCCAAGATACCCTGGCGGAAATATAAATCAACACGCCCAGTTAAAATCAGAAGCCTTCAATGGCTGATTGCATACAATGCCCTCCCAGTGAGCTCTTGGCTACACGTCCGTAGAAAGAACAGTGACCCAAATAGTCCAGAACAATGTTTGGTCTGCTCAGACAACGAACAGGAGGATCTAATGCACTGTCTGATAACCTGCAAATTTGCTACTGACTTATCGGCGAGAGCCTCAGTACTCCGGGACCACCTCTTCCCCTCCTCCCTTCCCGAACACCCGATCCAATTACTCCTATGGACAAACATCCCTGCCCAATTTAACAAATCTGAAGTTTCTGAACGCATCTGGTTTGGTAAGATCAGGAAGGTGACACTTTGGGTCATTTGGAAGGAGAGGTGCAGAAGGACCATCGACAAGTCCAGCAACCTGAGTGAACAGATATGGGCAACGACGAGACTTCTGATGGAGACTGAGATCCAATGCCGATGGAAGAAAGTCAAACTCCAAAATCCATCAGGACTGGAGAAGCAGCAAGAGCTGGTATCGAAGTTCAGGAGAATTTGGTTGGCCCACGGACAGATAGCTGAGATTCATGGATTACAAATCAGATGGCAAGACTGGCATAATTCGGTTGCTGGAGACCAAGGAATTCACACCAGGACGAACAGCAAGACTTCAGAGCGACATCATGAGATGTTGTTCCAGGGTTATGTCAGCTTTAATCTCTGTTTTCCTTGCATTCTCGTTTCACTGACAGATTCCAACAGAGGGATCTGAGAGGGGACTAAGGGAAAGTCAAGCTGACAGTCAATCCTCCAATGCAGTGGAGTAATCAATGCTGATCAGGGACCCTTCGCCAGACGGAAGGGGGCATGTGTGTGTGCAATGATGTAGTTATGTTATTTTGACCTGCTGGGGGAATAGGAACCAGACTGAGGCTCCCCAGAATGGATATGGACTATTATGGAGCCAGGACCTGGAAGAATTGCAGACCTACACTACACGAGCACACACAAGGCCTCACACCCATGCGATGCACACTGATAGGATGTAAGAACACTGAGGCTCCCCAGAATGGATATGGAGCCAGGACCATAAGGACCTGTTTTTTTTTTTGTTTTTTTTTCTAAATTTGTTTTAAAAGAGAGTTCACTTGGAAGAAGTGCACATCTACACTACACGAGCACACACAAGGCCTCACACCCATGCGATGCACACTGGCAGGATGTAAGAACACTTCAGGAACTGCTAGAAATGCTAGAAAATTCAAGTCTTATACAAGATACCTTTGGAAGTTTGGATCATAGTTGCAGTGCGCCTCGGTGCGCGGTTTTTTTCGCACGCGCTGCGCACCGCACCCGAAAAATTAAGGTCTAAAAAAAAGGAATAAAAAATAGGGGT